TCTACCTTTTGGAGAAGAAATGTACCCGACTGAAAAACTGCCGTTTGTTTCTTTGCTCTATGTTCAAAATGATCTTTCCTTTCATATTGTGTCAAGACAATCAACAGATCGCCAAGTGGAATATCGAAATCTTCCACTAATTTCTTCACGGATGTTCCATCTCCACTTTGTAATAAATTACAGAAAGATTTCAGAACATCTTTGGACACCACATCGCCTAAATGAATATTCATGGCAAAAGAATGCACATGGCCTCTTGCACCCGCAACAAGTATGTTATGGGAAACCACTGAAAAAACATGGCAGCGAAGCTTCACCTTGATCGTAGCTGTGAAACGTTGTGGTAGATTAATAATAACAGGAAAATCAGTTTTATACTTCAAAAGCAGCGAAAGGTAAAAAGTAAGTGACCAATTGATGGGCAGCTTTGAATTTTATTTTAATCGATTTGGCTGAAAATCAAAGTTTGTGTAATTATCGTGGCTTGAAATAGTTAATCGCCCACTGGTGACCAGTTGTGAAATTCTGGTTGCCAGTGCAAAATTTTTAGTTGCATTGGTGACCAGGAAAGCGCAATTTCAGACCCTGAACAACAAGAACGCTTTTGTTCCTTTGTTCATAGCTTAGTGGTCAGGCATTTCACCGGGAGATGGAGTACTGGACATGAGTAGCATTCAAAGCTTTCTTTGATCTCAACTAAGTGCAACTATGTAAACAGCTTTGAGGCAGAATGGAGAGTCCTTCCGAGCGACGTTTAGCTGCCCTAGAATGGCGACCTTAAACTGGTTAACGGATAATTTAACTAAAGTTTAATGCTGTTTAGCAGCAAGAAATGTAAGCTTAAGCTTATGAACAAAAACAGCTGTTTTAGCCACTGATGATGCATACTCTGATGTTATTAGTTTTATGAAGTTCTTGTCAGTGAAGAGATAGAAAACATGTATCTTGTTTCTGTCAAGTTGGGGAGAAGGAGAAATGCTGTGGGAACATGTGCAGGCAGGCAGGCAAGTGTTTCCACAGCTTTTTCAAGTTCTCCCAAACTTCCACAAGTGTTTCTATAACTTGATAGAAACATGAAGAACATGGTTTCTATTTATTTCAGAAATTTTTGTGGCGAAAAAAGGAAAGCAACTTATTTACTTTGATCATTAAATGTAAATTCTCTTTGCTTGTGCTACCATTATGCTCGTGCTAGTTGTGAGTTTCTTTCTTTTGGCTACGTTCTAATCTGCTATACAAACTTATAAACTTTTGATGAAAAGTGTTAATCTATGCAAACCTATGACAGGCTGTAAGGCTTGCTACCTAATGGGCTCCCGGTCACCTGAGGCGACTAAAGTTTTTCTCAAGGGCTCCTGAACATGGAGTTTTCATTCCCATCTAATCTGTCTGATAACTTCAATCTTTTGCAACCAGGATTTATATGCAATTCCTAATTGTAACTTTGTTCCACCAGCATAGAAATTCCCAGTAAAGAGCCTGCTGACCATCCCCAATCATAGTATATTTGTTCGGTAAATTTCTGGTTTCCTGGCTATAAACGCACATTATATTCTGACCGGCCGGAATGTTTCTCATGAAATCAGTCAAAAAGTCATTCACACAATAAATTAAACTGAAAACAACAGCCACTCTGGTCCTGTTTTGCTTTTATCACTAGAAATATGGGCCAAAACATGGCAACAAAGTCTCTCTCTGCTAACAAAACAGCTGAAAACAGCGATATTTGAAAATCGCCCTATAATGCATTGCAAGCTCAGTATTGAATAAATAATTATACATCATGTATGCCAATGGATTTTGTCTCTGTTGATACCGCACTGATTCCAGTTGCAAAATAACTACACTTTAATTTGATAACAAATATTTTTGGAATATTTGGAGTTATGATGCAACTGACATTCTATTTGCAATAGATAAAAGATAAATTTGTCTAATTTGTTGGGCATCTTAGATGTATTGAATGAATTTCTTTAGTTTCCAAAAGGATTATTTCCGGCAAAAAAGTTGAAATATTCAAGTAACTAGCCAGCAAACGGAAACATCGTCAGCATCGTCTAATCAGCATGGAGCAAACAGCGTGACTGTTGCTCCTTGGCACACAAAATCCCGGCCATGGAATCCCGGCTACGGATGCTGGTCGCTTCGAAAGCTGCACTTCTCAAAAATTATGTGGCAATTAGTGCTTGGATTTTTGACTGGATCTTCGATGGAATGCCACGAAAAGAAGTGTCAACCTTTCAGTTTGTTTGGTGTTCAATTTGGAAGCCAGGCAATTCTAATTTCTGGGTGAAAATCGGCTTGGTGCTGTAGCGGTCGGACATGAGCTTTCCAGCCTTGTCTCCTTTTTATAACATGTAGTAACAGTCAGTGCAAAACCCACCAAATCGCTCAAATTTGCCATTTTAAGCTGCAGAAACGACAATACACAACAACTGAGGTAGATTCACGTTTACCGGTATTTTGAGCTTTAACATGGACATTACTCGATATTAGTTTATGATATGACTCCTTTGCCTTTTCATATGGGAGTCCCCCGGGTTTCAAAATGTCTAATGGGAAGTGAAGGAGTCATGGAGTGAAATCGTTCCACCACTACAACTTGGAAAATAATATTTTCTAAGTTTAAAAAGGTGTCCTTCGATTCCTGTAAACTTTTTAGTAACTCTGCTGACCAGTATATAGAGCAGTGGCTGTCAGTTGCGCCCAAGTTGGAAGCCCTGTGTGATTGATCTAAACCCAAGTTGCATTTAAGCATATATACGATATATAGGGAAAGACTTCAAGGTTCATCCTCCTCGATTTGATTGTAAGTGAAAGTCTTCATTGTTTTTCCTTCGCAATCTTGTATCACTAGTGATACCTTAAGGCTCAAATAAGGCTAACAGACACAGAGTTTGAGATTGATTGTTGTGCTGGACGAATTCTTGAATTATTAGAAGCTTCAAATGATTATTCATCAGAAAGCAAATGCTGTAATTTTGGTAAGTGTTTTTTTAAGCATCAGAAAGGCAAAGGCTTTGTTTCGGTAACCTCTTTTTTTATATCCGTGAATAAGAAAAATCAAAGGCCCCCTGAGCCAGCTCATGGATGAATAGTTGACTTTTGCCTCTGTGGCAAAATGAGTCTTTGTGCAAAACTATTCGAATGAAAATGCATGTCACCTGTACATTCATTCTCTTGAAATTCAAGTCATTTCATGTACAATGTTTTGCACGAGCATTCGTTCTCAAAAAGAGGCAAACAGCAACTTTGAAGTGAAATCAAAGTCTGCATATGAGCCAGGTGGCCCATCAGGTCAGCACTTATCCTGGTTTCTGTAGCATGAAGTGATTAGGAGTATTTCTACTACCCC